CCAGATACACTTTCAAAAGCCCAAATGTCCTGAGGGCTTTGAGAAGGTTTTGTTTTTAAAGGGATGCCTGAGTGGATGTTATGATGTTAACCAGGTTTAGCCATCATTAGTATGTATCTTCATAGGCATCATGGACATCTTCTGTCTTTGTAGATATTAGAACTATGTTGATTTTGATTACATGTTAGTGAAAATGGAGGAATAATGAATGGAAAAGCTTCACAATACATTCTATCAATAGTACAATAATTCAGTTTACTGTATTATTTGGCATTTAAATTAGTTAAGCTTTAAAGTTGCAGTTGTATGAAATACTGTAGACTAGTTTAGTAAGTTTTTATTTCCTTTCTAACAAATGTCTGATTTTGTTTAGAAGTGCAGCCTGATCTCTTCAAAACACTGTGGTGATGAACTTGAAATTCAAGTTATGAAACTGTGTTGTAGCATGATCTCTAAAGTAGGTCATTGTGACGGGAGCAGTCCAAACAGCCTGCTGGTTGCTAGAGCAACGGCCTATTTAAAAAACTTTCTTGTTGATTCATATTGAAGTAAGCTTTTAGAAATCATGTAACAAAACTGGATAAGAGAGACACACCAAAGGTAATAATAGCAAAGATTTATTAAACTGGCTGTCTTTCTCTAGAAAGTTTAAGGGACTTGAGGGATGAAATGATATATCTTTATCTTATTACAGTAGATGTTCCCTTTTCCCTATTTTGGCCATCATATTTTCAAATGATTGATGCTATTAACATCTTGAAATAATAAAGAGAAAACCAAGTCTGGATATTAACCTTTTTATAGTGCTTAAAATAAAAATTATGTCAAGAGTAAAGTGAGTTATTAGAGCAAAATCTTATATACCAATACATAGAGATTTCTTTTATTTTGATTAATATCTTATTAGCATCATTCAATATTTTCCAGATTTTTTGTGCTGTTAAGATAAATTTTGTGTCCAACAGTTTATGTTGGACACATTGTAGTTTTCTGAAAAAAGATTTCTGACAAAAGATTTACTATCCTCTGAACTTTTGAACTGCACCTTAGCTCAGGCAGAGAGATAATTAGGGCCAGTTGTGTATTATCTTATATAGAGCTGTTTTGCTTCCTATCATCATAGTGAAGGTATTGCCACACAGATTCTATTTGTTTAGAATAATTTTGTTAAATTTTACAAATACAAAGTTAAAAGAAGTAATACAAACTTAAAAACATATAAAAGGAAAAGGAAAATTAATAGAAAAAAGAAAAAAGAAAGAAAAAGATGCAGGCAGTCCTCAATTTACAACCATTCATTTAGTGACCATTTGAAATTACTGAAAAAAATAACTTATGACCATTTTTTGCACTTATGACTATTGCAGCATCCCCATGGTCATGTGATTAAAATTCAGATGCTTGGACAACTGGCTCATATTTATGACCTTTGCTGTGTCCCGGGGTCATTTGATCACCTTTTGAAACCTTCTGACAAGCACAGTCAATGGGGAAGCCAGATTCACTTAACAACTGTGGCAAGAAAGATCATGAAATGGGACAAAACTCACTTAACAACTGTCTTGCTTAGCAACAGAAATTTGGGGCTCAATTGTGGTAGTAAGTTGAGGACTACATGTATGTAAAAAATAACCAGTATACCTTCTCTACTACTTCAATTAAAAAACCCTATTCTTGCCATGTCTCACCCCTTATCAATAATGAAATTGCAAAAAGACACCATTTAATTCTGATTAGCAAAAGTTTATTAAGAGCTACCAAAATTATTAACATATTTTAATCTTAATTAAAAACTTCAATTTTATAACCCAAACTTATCCATCACTCTAAAAAAAGAAAAGAAAATCTCTCCACTTATAACAGATCTTTAAAGTCTCCTCATTCAGTTCTAGTAAAAAGGAAACCTTTTTAACAGCTACCAGAAACTACAAAATACATATTTTAACTTGATCAGATTCACTTTATAAATCTTTTTAATTTTTAAAAGCTTGAGCTTTAATCCTATCATCATCAAGTAATGTCCCACAAGTTGATTTCTTATCATTTTCTTTCTCTTTGTCTCCTTTCAGAAATGGCTTGAGTACTGTAATTCCTCTTTTGTCTCTTCCAAGAAAGAGTTTTCTTGATTTCATGCATTCCTTTTGTAAATTCAAGATAAGAAGGCTTTCCAAGTCACTCTTCTGATTTATTATTTGTATGTCCTCTTTCATTATTAAGACTTCAGTTGGTTTCATTTATAAATCCATTTTGGCATCGTTTACCATATCATTCTTATAGTCTGGCATTTTTAAATCCATTTTCAAAACAGTAGCATCTTTTTCCATTTCACTTTTGTAATCCAGCATTTTTTAAATCTCCAAATCCACATTCAAATCAGTTTCAGTCTCTGTTTTATGCAATGAAATCTGTTGTTCTTCTATATCCTTTGCCATAGTATCTATCTTGTAAGTAACTTATTGTAAGTAACTTCTGAGTATATTGTTCCCAAACAGATTTAATATCTTTTATATCCAAATAATGTTGCTTTTTTTTCTCCTTTAAGAATTATTATTATATTTATTATTATTATTAT